TCCCGCGAAATCGTGACTAGAGCCAAAGAACATATTAGGTACACAAAGAAACCTCCTAACAATCCTGTAGAATTGAACCAACTTCAAATTAAATCGGCAATAGCAGTTCATGCCATTTTCAACAACCACCAAATCGATTTTTAAAATATCAAAATATTGCAAAAAGGCTTTTCCAACTACAAAGAAAGGAGGGTAGCTGAGACGTTCCATATAATGCTTAATCATACTACTCTCAATAGAAAAGAAGGTCTTTAGTGGCCCGTGGTTCTGACTCCTGTTTAGAGCGTATGGAAGATGGCTGGGAAGCCAACTCCAATTCAAGCCGGGCATTACTCAATATTTATAGGCAGACAAAATAAACTACAGACATGTGATGAGTCATGGGACATGAAGTGTACACACATATAGGCTCATGTGAAAACAGTCAAGGCTAATAAGCGAATAATTAACAAGGTCAAAATAAGACTCAAGTAGAATGAATAGAATGGAATGTCCGAAAACTAGAATAAGATATATTATGGGCTAAAACTAATGACTAACACTACAGGTCTTACTATACATCCTACTTGGACCATCTATCCTATCCATACAATTTCACACTATCATATTACAAATTTAAACTCTATCCTTTCTTACCATAAAGGTCACACAAGTTTTCATTCTTAAACAATGCACATATACATACACACAAATTTACATACATATCGCTTATGAATCAACTTGACAGAAATGGCATGACATCAACTTGTTCAGACCTGTGTTTTTTTATTGATCAAGTATTATTCTTGCATTGTTCCGTTGTACTATTTAAACTTGGATTAATTTTAATTTGGTTATTTATTCTCTGAAGAAGTGACTTACACTAAGTCACGAAACGTCAGAAAATCCAATTTTCTACTCATTGGGATATTACAAATATATTATTTTATTTATAAAGACTAGTTCAGTTTATCTCACTTTTTTCTATCCATTTTTTCCGTTTTCAGTGTGCTTCTTAGAGCATTTTTACGGTCTTAGGCTTTTTCAAGCATCTGTAACATAGTTTGCTTCAACATAGTCATGAAAAACTCATGCAAATGTCCGGGATACCGTTTTGCTGTTACAACTGGCATGTAGTGCGACAACTGCAAAGTTTGATTCCACTAAGCGTGCACAGATCTAACGGCAACTGCTCACAATAGACTCAGCAAATCGGATCAAAAGTGGGTATGTGTCACGTGCAGAACGGATGCTGTAGTCTTGCTGAGTAACATCATCGTCCTACTGACAGGTCTGCGGAACAAGTTGTCAGCAAACTTGGATAACGACAGTAAAAAAACGGGTAGGCAAACAAGAGCGCGCAATGAATACAAGAATAAGGATGTTGACAGGTATACCATCGATGAAGCATTCATTAGCACTAATGATGATGTGTTGAAGCTCAGCACCATCAATACGTTGACGGTACTAGACTCTCTAAGTAAACTCGGGTCTCCCAGCTCAGGGTCCCTGAACACAACAGTGGTTCCTATAAACTCTGTAGGTGATTCGACCCACGTTAACAGAGCCCAAAAGAACCAGGCGTCACTGCCTAAGCTGAGCATCCCAAGTATTTTTGTATGGAAGACAACTGGTGATTTTGTCTCACAGTCTGCCCCTAAGAATGTTCGTCTGGTCATCAAAGAGCCCAAGATTTAAAAACGTGCCTTGACCTCCAAACAACAAGGTATTAAACATGAACCCACTGGAAAACCTGGTAAATTAACAACGGTTCGTAGCACAAAGGCAAATTGAAGTTAACTGTCTAGATGATAAAAAACATGTAAAGGACAGGGCCTACCAACTCGGTAAACCTCATATAGGTGGGCTAGCTGTTCATTCACGTAAGGCTCATACAGACAAACAAGATGAAGCTCACGCATTCCAAATTGAAAGCATAAACTGCTTATATACAAACGCCGCGAGTCTACCAAACAAATTGGATGAAATACGTGAACTTAGCAACGCTAATAAGGCCCATATGATGGGAATATGTGAAACTTGGATACCTTCTCAGTTCTCGGACCAAGAGTTAGCAATACCTGAGATGTCTTCGTTTCACAACGACAGAAAATCAGAAATTGGGGGCGGAGTAACCGTAAACATACGAACTTCCTTAGAGCCACACCAAGTCCATAACCACGAGTTAAACAATCTTGAGGAATCCATATGGTGCTCTGCAACATTGTCTACTACTTCGAGGTGCCTAGTCGGAGTCACATATAGGAAGCCCACGGCCGACATCGAGTACGATAGTCGTATGCTGGAAGGACTATCCCGCTCTACTCGTCTCGGTTTCACACACATTCTGATTCTAGGGGACTTTAATCTCCCTAGAGTCAACTTCCCGTAACACACGTATACTGGAAGGCGAAAATTCAATTAAAGCTCGGTTCTTCAACCTCATTGATGACTTGGGATTATACGAAAATGTGAGGTCGGCAACTCGTTGGAGAAACAGTCAGATACCATTGCGCTTAGACTGTGTATTCACAAACGAATAATTCCTAGTTGACAACCTCTCAATCCTGGCTCCCCTGGAAAAAAGCGATCATGCCGTCATAGCTTTCAGTTTTGTCAGCAAAACTAAGCTAAGGTATCCCACAAATTACTTGCGTTGGAATTTTAAACTGTTGAATGTGTCAGCTCTACAAGACTATCTACAACAGGTGGTTTGGGATGTTTACCCTCAACGGTCATTGGGACTTCTTACTGCACACGCTCTTATGTGCTACAAACCATTCAGTTCCTCAAACGGTTCCCAAAAGCTGCAAGCCACCTACAGTAATCAAGAACCGTACCCTTCGCCTGCTAAGCCGCAAAAAGCACTGTTGGGCGGAATACAAACGAACTGACAACGACGGAGCGTACAGGCAATATAAGCATATCAGGAGCATATGGACGAAGGCTATAAGAGAAAACAGGCTTCAGTACCAAACAAAGCCTATGGACAAATTCGCCTCTAATCCTAAACGCTTATTTCGTTATGCAGCCTCTCTTCGCCAAGCCAAAACTGGAGTTTCCCAACTGCTAGATCTCAACGGCCCGACCAATAACGATGGCGACGCCGCTAACCTTCTGGCTGAACATTACTCTCAGACATTTCAATCGACCGACATCAACTTTACTGATGACAGTTTCATCTGCAATTCCACAGGACTTTCCGAAGTGAACCTAAGCGCTGACTTGGTGTTCCGGAAATTGCAGCACTTAAGATTAGACACTTCTCCTGGCCCGGATATGGTCCATTCTGCCATACTGAGGGAGGCAGCCTCAATCCTGGCAACGCCGCTTAGCGTGATGTTTTCACACTCGCTTAGCCGAGGCAAATTACCGGAAAATTGGAAGTTTGCTCACATCACACCAATTTTCAAAGGAAGTCAACGCAATGAACCTTCAAGTTACCGGCCGGTGGCTCTTCCGTCAATACCTTCAAAACTCATGAAGTCCCTGATATGCGATGGCTTAAACGACTATATGCTATCCTTAAATTTCTTCTCACCCCAACAGCATGGTTTCAGGAAGGGCTACTCTTGTATAACCAACCTGCTGACTGCGGTGGACAGATGGACAAGCATCCTCGATCGCAAGGGAAAGGTTGACATCATCTACCTAGATTTCTCAAAAGCTTTTGATAAGGTTAACCATTTATGTCTTATCAATAAGCTCAAAAGACTAGGTATCAGACCACTTCCAATCGATTGGCTTACTTCATACCTAAAAAATCGACATTTTAAGGTTAGGGTTAATTTCACTTTATCACAGGCTATGGAATGTCCTAGTGGGGTCCCCCAGGGCTCAGTACTAGAACCTCTTCTCTTCTTTATCTAGATGAATGGTCTTCGTCAACAGGTAACGTCAGATTTCTTACTTTTTGCAGATGACGTTAACCTTTGGAGAGAGATACGCAGTCTAGACGATATACAGGCACCTCAGGATGATCTGACTCGACTTCAAAGTTGGGCAGCCAATAACGGACTTACTTTTAACACTTCAAAGTGTAGAGTAGTCCATCTGCGACATGTCGTAGACTACATTTATAACTTAGGAAACTCCTCTCTAGAAGTATCTCGAGTCGAAAAAGATTTAGGAATCCTGGTGCCCCATGACTTAAAGTCTTACGCTGTGACAAAAATGCCTTCCGAGCAAACCTTGCACTGGTAATGTTGAAGCGCATTTTTGAACAGTTTGACGGACGAACTTTCCATACAATCTTCAATAGTTTCATCCGTCCCCATTTAGAGTACAGAAACTTAGTACTCCCCCCTCACTCCAAAAGGACAAGGTCACTTTGGAGCGTATCCAACGGCGAGCCACGAAATCAGTTCGAGGACTCAAACCTAAACCTTACGAAGAACGCCTCCATTCACTAGACCTTTACCCATTAGAGTATAGGCGTCTTAGAGGTGACTTATTAATGGCTTATAATATTCTTAACACTTCTGGACATCCTCTTAAACACCTACTTAAGCTTAGTTAGAACATTAACCTAAGGGGTAATACCCAGAAACTGGAGACACAACATAGCAAAACGGAGTGTAGACATAACTTCTACTCCTTAAGAGTCGTCAAGTGCTGTAACTCGCTGCCGGCCGAGCTAGTCCAAGCGACTTCCCAGGAGTCCTTTAAGAGGCCACTTGACCTATTCTTAAGGACCAAGGATTGCATCATACTATGATTTACTAATTTCTTTTTCCTCTCTTATTGTTAACATACCTAGATCCCTGCTTGGAGGATTTGGTGATCCCCTGCTACTAGACACGGAAGCCTGCTAAGCAGAAGCTTCTTCTATTCCGTCCACAACCATCTGAACTATTTGAATTTAGACAACTTCATTTACAGTTGATTAAAGAAAACTTTTATACCTGCTTGCTTGAGGTTATACATAAAAAATCCAGTGATCCGTTAGATTCAAAGAGAAGTGATTAACCAAATTCTTGTTTAGTTCTGTCTAAAATTGTTTGATACCACTTGAAAATATTGTATATTGAAAATGCAACTGAAGGCACCACTTGTTTGTATAGATAGCCTCGGTATTATTTGAGGGTGGGACTATACTTCTTGGGTGCTGTGTATTCATTCCTAAAATGATTGGGATAGAAGTAAAGGGACGCTTAAATCAATACGTAAAAGTAAGTAATGTATTTGCACATGTATAACATTTTTAGGCCATCCTGCGCAACGTAGTTGACGAAAATGTGATTGTCTTCTACCCGGAAAAGTGGGTTTAAGTCATGTTTTCCATTCCTCTCTTTCAGAAATGAAGAGGAACAGGTTCCGATCAAAAATGTGCGACTACCCCCAACTTCCGAACGGTTAGTTTGCAAGCAGTATTAGTAGCTCCATATAACGGTCGTGTCCTACATACATAATGCCAACATGGTTAGCATACTTCATGTTCTGAATACAAGGTCATAGCTACCACTAATTGTCAACGGTGTTATAGAACTACCGGCAAGTAAAAGGGGTCAGCTCCCTAGCGTCTAGTTTGAAAGACCTAGGCAATCAGTCCTTGATTCATGTCAATGCAGATCGTTTCGTTACTGCTGTATAAGTATCCAAATGTAGTTCAAGTTACCTTTTTCTTAAGTCCATAGTGTATTCGGGTGTGGTTATTCTATCGAGTTTGGTTTCTATTAAGAACACGAAGAGGTCACGTAGCATTCAAACACCCAATACTCGCCAAGTCTGCTTTCAAGTACGATGGGTTATATTATTCTAAATCTGAAAAGTGCTCTAAGTTCATTATGACTAAAGTCGTATTCCCTATAAAAAGTGGTGGAGGAAGTAAACGAGTTGGACTGCGGCTCAAGAGAACTACCGGTTATATAGTGGAAAAATTCCTGCATGTCAGTGAGAGACGTATGAAAATTTTAGCTGCATGGACTGGAAGAGCCTCGTTAGTATTGCTTCATACGCAGAAATTCATCCTTCTCTTGTATGAGTTTATAGTACTTAGTGTTCTTATTTTCAGTTTCCAATATGCACTTACTCTCTGCGTACTAACGAGTGCCTCATAGTGGCTTGACTTGTTAAGAGGCTTCAACATCAAAAGTATACTCTCGGTATACCGAAATCCTGCTGGCAGTTTTGTCCTTTAGTGCTAATGCATATTCTCAATAAGTTGTATTCATGCTTGTTCTAGTAACAAAGATATTGCCTGAAGACCTGGATATTCTTTTTTTCTAAGAACACGATATTCCGAGTGGTCAAGCACATTTAAAATAGCCATTATACCCGGTCTATTCCTTAACAGCTAGTTGTTTTCCACATTTTCTCGGTTGACATTTGTCCACAGTCAACCTAATTCCGTGTCTTTCTAAAAACTGGAATGTAGTTAATACTTTCTACTTAGTGCACTTACTGAATAAGCGTGTTTGAAGTTAGAATTTGTGCATGTATTTTGTGGTACTCAAAGTTCATTTTAGGTTTAGATATCATCTCATACTAGTATTTATTCATCTGCTTACTGAGATAACTGCGTAAACGGCTGATCCACTAAGTTCTACATGACCTAAAGCTAGTACTAAATGAAATAAATAGTCCTTGTCTGAAAAGCTTTTTCAGAGGTCTTTTTTTGCGTTTCCAGAGATGTTCATCCTGGACAAAACGGGGAAGCCCTATTTTCCGTCGTGACCGATCAGACTCCAGGTTCATCTAGTAATACAATTACACTGACTGGCCGTTGGGGCGATGAAACTAATAGTAAACCGGAAGTTGAACTCATACTGGATGATCAGCTGAATTATCTCCCTATTCCATCTTGGTGGCCTTGTCGTGTTGTCAAGATTCGAGATGATGTCGCAGTAGTGAAGTTAAATGTATCACCACCGGCCGATGCAACGCCCTCAGAAATTTCACTTTGTACACACCTTTCTACTGTCACCGAGATCGTAAGTCGTAAGTCTCTACGTCAGCCCAGTGATGACTGCCCATGTCTGTCACCTGATATCATTCACCGGCATCGTATTGAAATTCCAAAGGAATTGGCAGACTTGTAAGTCTATCTTGAGCAATGCAGGCAGAGGACAGTTATGTTGTGTTCACAGTTGTTTTTATGTTTTGTTTTTTACATTTGATTGCTGCACTTGCCTTTATACCACTTTGTAACAAAATGAACTCACAGATCGGGTTATCGACATTTATAAGTTAGCTATTTCTGAAAATGCCACTTCGTGATAACTATTGATCGCTATGATATCCGCTGGAATCTTGATATAGGGTCAGCAGGTAAAGACAGTATTTCATCTTCATAGAGATTGTAGAAAAATGACGCAAGTCCACTAGTTTTGCTCACAAAACTTAGTGCCGTAGTAAAAAGTGGGCAGATTGTATTGGTTATATGACTACGTGTAAAACTTTTCATAATAATTTTTTGGAAATAAAATTCCTAATCAGGACTATAATAATTATTTCTCGTATTTCACTGTAGCGTCATTGGAGCATTTCTTTACTGAAATCACCGAAAACAATTTCATTTTGGGTGACAGTATCAACTCAGTTCACGATTTACTTGGATTTGATTACATGCTGGCTACTTTTTATTTATTTAAACATAAAGATTGGTGCAAAGGGGCACCAAATATTTTTACACCACACTTCATTTGATTTGTGTTTTGGCTGGAATATTGCCTAGGTTACCAGACCACGAGCCTTTTACTTATAGATCCGGTCCACAAGGCAGTGGGGCAACGTTAGGAGACGCAATCCCATAGCCATGATAGCCGATGACTAATAATCGGTTCACGACGATTTTTTCTCAGGGTTCATGAGCCTGTATGCACCACCGTTTTTGAATCAAGATTTTCCGAATTCCTTAAGTGAATTCCCAAAACCCACTAGCTTGATTGAAGCGTGGAGCGTTCGCCTTCCGTCCTTTCGACTTCGTAAACAACAGCCTCACTGCGAGAAGGCAGTAAGACTTCCTTGCTAGTGGTCGTATACGCGTGGCTATATGAGAGCATTTCGAGAGAGAGTGAATTCTTCCCACCTTCAACTGTATCAAAGCATGTCGGTGCTGGCTACTTTATGGGTCTTGTTTTGTTTTCTACTACATTATAAGTTACATCATGATAACAATACTGTATACGATCACCATCGTCGAATTATACTACTCACACTAGTTTCAGAACTTGAGATCCACTTATCTGACATCTTTTCTCACCTGAGCAGTAACTTTTCAAATCATTTATATACTTCGAACCCTTAGGGACGTACTAGAAAATAATAAAGGTGGTTGTGTCGTTCATATTTCATTTTCGAGTCAACGAATCTATTCATCTTAAACTTTATCAGTTTGCCAAAGAGCTCATTAATAATTTTCTATTTTCAGTGCTTCTGATCCTTCTGTCCACCATGACTTTTTGCGCCATTGTGGTGGCCCTGTAAGCCTACACTACGATAATGAGTCTTCCTGTTTGGTCGTGTTAACGACAGACCCTGTAACAGCCAAGAATGTTGCCTTGTTGGAAGATACTCATTTAAGGATGTTGCGCCAAAAATGGGCCCTAACTCGAAGTCTTCGGCAAACTATTCGAAATCTTGAGGTAAGTGTTCATTCATCTCACACCGTAAGATGTAGTTCATTGTTTCTATTGACAATCTACTAAATTTCATTTCTCGGAGCTTCTTAACCTCGGGGATTTTACTTTACCAACAGAAGCTTAATAATGGTGCGAAATTCTCCATACCGTACCTCAGAAGTACATAAACCTTGTAAAGGCTCTTTACTCGAACACTAATTGAACCAGAGCTTATGGCGAACTGTCAACCTCAAGTGATATCCGTCAAAGCTGTCCACTTTCTCCATTTTTATCTCAGTCAGTAACAACGTAGAACTTCGTTCGTACATACATCAGTTCGAGTTGCCACACCACATTAGCACAGTGATGCAGTTGTTTATTGAAATTTCGTAGTGGTAGAGGTAATAAGAGTATAAGCATAATCGGGAAGATGAGTGTTTGGAGATGTTACTTAAAGAGTATAATACAGTGAAATAAATTTGAGAGGAAAAAAAAGAGACAATGAGGAATCAGATTAAAATTTGGGAGAACACAAAGAGTGTATGCACCTGCGCCATTGCAAACGATTTTGAGCCATGTCATTCAGGCTCTCTAACCATCAGTTGCTATCATCTCGCGGTCCCCAACCAGGTAGTCTACACCTACCGACACGACTCAGACCACTTGTCAGTGACTTCATGGACTTGTGCCATGTTTTGGTCTGGCCGCCCCTAGCTTTCTTCCAACCTACTCCTATACCACTGAACATCGCACGTCGAGGCAGTCGGTGGTTGGGCATAGGTAACACGTGTCCCAGCCATCTCAACTGACGGAGCTTCACTACTTCGTCAATCGATTTGCCATCATTACCTAGTACCCGTTTCCTAACAACTGCGTTACTTACTCGATGTTCCCAGGATATACGAGCAATGTTTCGTAGACACCTATGATCGAATACTAGTAACCTACGAATATCCTCTACTCTTACCGGTTACGTTTCACTGCCATAACGTAGGACGGAACGAACTGCTGCTCAGTGAACACGTCCTTTGTTTGATAGACGGATATCTCGTCTACGTCATAAATGACGCAAGTTGACTAAAGCTAGTCGAGCCTTCTGTATCCGTGCTGAGATTTCGTCACACACCAGACCACAAGGGCTGATGATACTTCCAAAATAAGTGAAGCGATCGACACGCTCAACTACTTCACTCCCTATCATTAGTTTGGATGTCAATGCAACCCAATACTGAAGCAACATTTTGCATTTTGAGGGGGAGAATCGCATGCCAAACATGTTTGCATTACTTTTTAGAGTGGCCAGAAGACTGCATTTTGTCAGCGTCTTCACCAAATAGAACTATGTCATCGGCATATTCCAAGTCAATAAGTGAATCTCCTGGTAGAAGTTCAACCCCTGGAAATTTAGATGAGGAAAGTGTCATCTCTAAAAGCACGTCAACAACAAAGTCGAACAAAAATAGAGTGGATAGCCCTGACGAACGCCACTTGAGTTAATCAATTCTGATGACAGTTCGCCATAAGCTCTCACTCTACCAGTAGTGTTCGAGTAGAGAGCCTTTACAAGGTTGATGCACTTCTTTGGTACTCCTTTCAGTGACAAACACTGCCACAGAACCTCAGGCAGTCAGCTACAACGTATGACCAGGCACATATATGCATCGGTCCAGGTTGCCGTACCGCATTAGCACAGCAAGATGAACACCGGATTCATAGGAGTGGTTAGGTCAAAGGTGGTAATATATAGGAGAAAGATTGCATATGAGGATACAGTACAGTCAACAGAGTCGAATGCAACCTTAAGGTCGAGAAATACTACGATTGTGGGGCGTCTGAACGTGTGTCTGTGTTCTAGAACCTGACGTAGTGTGAATATCTGATCTATACAACCACGTCCAGGTCGAAAACCAGCCTGATTTTCTCTAGTCTGTTCTTCACGAGGTTTAGTTAGGCGTCGGAGTATTATTGAAGCTAATATCTTAGACACTATATTTGTCAAACTGATTTCTCTGTGATTGTCACAAGAAGACTTTTGTCCTTTCTTATAGACTGACACAATCAGTAATTTAGACCAGTTCCCAAATTCTACCTAAGACCTCAGTTAATCTCACTGCTAATACCGGATCATTATCCCTAAAAATCTCGGAAGTAAACCTGTCAGGGCCTGCTGCTCTCCCTCACTTCAGATTTGCGATAGGTTTTTCAACTTCATAAAGAGTCGGAGGACCTGCATTAACTCGCCATTCAGGTCGACGGAGATCGTGGGAAACCAAAGTGTGGCTGAAGGCCAGTTGAACTGATCCCTAAAGTGTTCTGCCCATCGATCCAATCTCCTAGATTGAGAATGTATAATATGTCCATCTTTCTCTGAGATTGTTTCGCTAACAGTCGGGTTCCTAATGCCGGTTTCCTTAACGAGTCTGAACAATTGTCTGCTATTACCTATTGCCGCTGCCTTTTCCATCTCTCTTGCTTTCGCTACCCACCACTGTTCACGATCATTACATAGGCTTCTTGTCAGCTGGTGCTTAAGCTGACTCCGCTTTTCATTATGTTCAGAGCAAGGTGGGATACGTTTTCGAGCATCTATCAGTGCGGTAGATGGTGCTGAGATCCAATGTTTCTCTCTAACCTTACGGTTTACCGTACTAGCAGATATCGCTGCTTTTTCTACAGCTTTTCGGGTATCATTCCATGGTGCCTCGGAGTGGGCATCACATACATTGCTGCCTAATTGTTTTTCTAGTTGTCCCTGAAATATACTCTTAACTTGACTATCATTAAGCTCAATATAGTACAACTGTCTCGACGTTCGTATTGAAGATGCTGACTTTGATATTGGTTGACAGTTGTTTTGATTTGCATAAGTATTCAAACGGTAGAAATTCTGTCCTTGCTTTGCCAATCTTCGCCTTTACGTCTGCATCCGATCCTCCGTGTTTATATATGATGCTTCCCAAGTACGTAAAAGATTCCTCCTCTTCCAGAGTTTCTCCATGAAGTGTAATTGGATTGGTGTTCTCCATGTTGTATTTAAAGATCTTGGTTTTCCCCTTGTGTATGTTGAGGCCTACTGCTACAGAGGCTTTCGCTATACTGGTTGACGGTTTTCTCAGATACATCATAGTGTCGAAGAAGGCCCCATCACGTTCCCCTATCCATTCTGTCAAACGCCTTCTCATAGTCAAGGGAGTTGGTGTGTAGTGACGAGTTGCATCCAATTGATTGTCCAACGATGATCTGTAACGTCGCTATTTCGTCTGTGCACTACCGATCCCTACAAAATTCAGACTGTTGATTTCAAAGTTGGGCGTCTGCTCAATTCTTCATTCGGTTCAACAACACTGTTGGAAAGTTTTCCTCGTACTGATAGTAGTATGACTCCTCACACTTGCTGAGATCTTTCTTCGACATCCTGATTAGGTGTCCTCCACAGTCTGTTGACACTTGTTGTTTCTCCATTTTTTTCTGTGGAACGTCTTCGTAGTTACCTCTATATGTGACCTTGGTGCTTCAGCTGGTATGTTGTCTGTTCGTTCTGCTTTCCCACTCTTGGTTTGTCCGATCGTCACGCTGATTTCTTCGATCATTAGTCAAATGACGGCTATAGGAAGGTCTATGTGTGATACATCAATGTCCAGTGGGTTCAGTAGCGCTGTTGTAGTCAAGAGCTCTTCAAAGTAGACTACCCACCTGTTCTGCTGTTCGTAAATCTCAGTGATTGGTTTGCCCTTTTTGTCCTTCACTGATCACTCTTGTTTACCATATTTCTCTGCTAGTTTCTCCGTTGTGTCATGCAGTTGTTTCATACTCTCTCCCCTTGCAGATTTTTTCGCTATCTCTTCTAGGTCTAACACGTATTTCTGCTTGTCAGCTCTAATCCTCCTTTTCATTTGTTTGTTTGCTTCTGTGTATTCAGTTTGTGCCTTGACTTTCTCTGCTTTTGTTCGGCTCTCGTTAACTGATGTCCTCTTGTCCATCTTTTCTTGAATCCTCCTTAAGTTCTCGATGATGATCCATCCCTTATGATGATGCTTCTTGAAGTCGAAAACCTGATACGTTGAAGTTAGTGCTTCTTTGATCCCTTTCTAGTTGTCCTCTATTATAGTTTCTTCTTTGAATAAATCTTGTAAGACTTGAAACCTGTTGTGCAGAGCTGTTTTGAATTCGTTGAGTTTGTTAGTATCTCAAAGGAAGACGGTAGTAAACCTTTGTAATGCTGTTTCTCCAGTTGTCCAGTACTTGTTTACCTTCAGTTTCATCTTGGCAACCACCAGGTGGTGATCTGTAGTTATTTCAGCCCCTCTCCTGATTCTCATGTTTTCCATCGAAGTTTTCGTGATGGAATTGTGATCGACCTGGTTCTATGTATCGTGATTCGGTGAGTCCCATGTAGCTTTGTGTGTGCGTTTGTGGGAGAATATTGTGTCTCCTATAACCATTTTGTTAAATACACGTATCTGCAAATTTGCCACCATTCTCGTTGCTTTCTCCAAGTCCATGTCGTCCCATGGTATCTTCATACCCGGTGTTATCCATTTCGGCTTTGGTGCTTAGTCCCCCATCTGGATGGTCACGTCCTTTCCAGAGCACTTCGCTGTGATCGCTTGCAGCCTCTCATAAATCCTATCTTTATCGTCGTCGTTGGTGCTTAACATTGAATAACATTCGTTGTGACCCCCTCGTTCTTTGTTTTGAATGACGCTTTGATGATCCTGGGTTCGTGACATTCTCACCCTTGTTGTTGACACCATGCTCAACCCTCTTTCTTTACCAGGGATTGGGATCGGTAGTAAATCTAGAAGAGTTAATGGCGGAGTTTTATCGACTACGTGTATGGCAGAAAATCAAAAGCTTTCACAGACTATTTTATGACCTCCATACAAATGTTAATCATTTTGTATGCGATATGTTGTGTGGTAAATAGCTCATTTGCGTTTTACATAAGTTTAAGTCAATGGAAATATTCATAAAGGATATTGCACTCTTACAAAAATAAATGTACTTTATTTTTATAATCTTACCGTAAACATTTTTCAGGTCAATCGCGGACCAGATGTATCACGACCAGGTGGGTCAAAAAACTGCAGTGACTGGAACAGTGATCCTAGTCTATTTGTTGAAAAGTTTTTTGTTCCTCAACATCTCATGGGTTTAGCTATAGGTGCTCGTGGTGTAAATATTCGTGCTGCAAGAGAAATTCCCGATGTAATCCGTATCGAGTCATGGGAACCGTGTGAATATAATGCAAGAAATAATGACCCTGTCGATAATTCTGGAGATTATGGTGAAGCTGCGATGTTTGTTATAGAAGCCAAGGTATAACTTTTTCCAAAGTGATGATCTAGTGTTTTGTGTAAACAAAGAATGAGTTTTCGTTTGGCTAGCGTTATGTATTTTACTCGGTGGCTCACCCGTCTGTATGAGGCAGTCGGACTTACATTACTATGTCTACTATCATTTCCATGCACGCATCCGTATTTCCCTTTTGTCCACATATAGGCCTTGCCTACTTAATTTAAACCAACTCATCACTCTTCTTATTTTTTCATATCGAACGACGGTATCAAGTCCTACGAGAAATTATTGAAAGCATAAGACAGCCCTCGAAGTCATTTAAAGTTGACTTATGAGTTGGTATGTTAGTGGTTTGAAGAACAAATTTCCAGCTGTTAATATGAAAAGATTCTGATCAGTGGATAATATCCAGTGATACGATGTGGCCGAATGATGGCTATTCAAGACCAAATTATTAACGTAAGTCTCTGTATAACTTGAGATAAAAGACAAGACCTAGTCTGATAATCCCTGATGTTTGATGTAATTTCGACAGGAATTCAAAAATTCCTGTTGGCTAATATCAACTTATGTCTCTTGAGATGTAGTTAAGATATCCATCTACCAACTGAGGGACGAGTTGACTGCGCAGTAGTTCTGTACATCCTACTTTGTGAAGGATGGCCATTAAAAGTAGATGATATTCATAGGTTACTAGTATTCGGTCATAGGTGTCTTCGTGTGCTTTAGGACAATTGAGTTGGGGATTCGGATGTTAGACGCAGAGTACTAGGTAACGATGGCAAATCAACTGGCGATGTGATGAACATTTGCCGACTGAGACAATTCGAACACGTATTGCATATGCCCATTCACTGACTTCCACGACGTGCGATGATGTCTGGTGTAGGAATAGGTCGGAAGAAAGATGGGGTGACCGAACCAAGACATGACATCAATCTACGAAGGCACCAACTGTTGAACTGAGCAATGTGGGTGGGTGTATTGTCTGGTTGAGGTACATGCAATTATTGTAACCAATTGTAAGAGGATGAGTAACATGACTCAAAATCGTTCATAATGACTCAAGTGCGCTCACTCTTTGTCTCTCCTTAAATAATAAATTTCTAATTTCCTTAAAAACTTATTTCACTAAATGATATTTTCGTCTCGAACTGTATTTTCGATGCCTATCCTTTTCTATTTCGACTTGTACTGTTGATACCTGTACTACTATAGGATTCTCTCGGACAATTTTATCTCGTTGTACAATGGGGTATGACAACCTATACCAGTATGATTGACAGAGGAATAGGTTGTTATAACAAAGTAACGTGCTTAAATGCAAATAATCAACAAGAGAATGATATCAAATGTAAACATCTGACCCGTGTCAATATTTTACGTCGTTTACCCTCCAATGAACTATCCATTCTGACTATAGCCCATCTTATCGACGACAATGTGCCTCAACTTAACAATCTTCTTCAATTTCAAATATCTAATTGAAAGTTATGATACTCGCTTTACTTGATTTCATATATATGTGGCTAAAGTAGAGAATTCACATCACCAAATTCCCGTCTCATAATACTTCCCTTACGAATAGTCAAAAATTTGTAAAACCATTTCGCGGATTAAGCAATTCCTGGGTTAGAAATAAGGTACTAATTAAGAATGACAACTCGATTGCTGAGGTAGTAAATCTTCATCAACTGATGTGGTTGGAGCATGGTTTGCGCTTACCAAACCAACTACTACGTCCACTAGAAATGTTGCCTAGTGTATGAATAGAATGAAAGAGCGCCAAACCAAAACGTGGTATCAGTCCATAAAGTTATCGGCAACTGGATTAAGCCATGTAGGTAGGTTCAGACCATGTGCATCTGTCCTTTACATTTCCCCAAATTATAGTCTGAAGTCTTCTTGATGTTTATTCCACTAATTTATACTTATCAAATCTTCTATGTCTAATCATTTCAATCACCACAGATTCTGTTATTTCCCCTACCATTCTGGAGCATTTCTTTACTGAAATTACCGAAAACAATTTCATTTTGGGTGACAGTATCAACTCAGTTCACGATTTACTTGGATTTGATTACATGCTGGCTACTTTTTATTTATTTAAACATAAAGATTGGTGCAAAGGGGCACCAAATATTTTTACACCACACTTCATTTGATTTGTGTTTTGGCTGGAATATTGCCTAGGTTACCAGACCTCGAGCCTTTTACTTATAGATCCGGTCCACAAGGCAGTGGGGCAACGTTAGGAGACGCAATCCCATAGCCATGATAGCCGATGACTAATAATCGGTTCACGACGATTTTTTCTCAGGGTTCATGAGCCTGTATGCACCACCGTTTTTGAATCAAGATTTTCCGAATTCCTTAAGTGAATTCCCAAAACCCACTAGCTTGATTGAAGCGTGGAGCGTTCGCCTTCCGTCCTTTCGACTTCGTAAACAACAGCCTCACTGCGAGAAGGCAGTAAGACTTCCTTGCTAGTGGTCGTATACGCGTGGCTATATGAGAGCATTTCGAGAGAGAGTGAATTCTTCCCACCTTCAACTGTATCAAAGCATGTCGGTGCTGGCTACTTTATGGGTCTTGTTTTGTTTTCTACTACATTATAAGTTACATCATGATAACAATACTGTATACGATCACCATCGTCGAATTATACTACTCACACTAGTTTCAGAACTTGAGATCCACTTATCTGACATCTTTTCTCACCTGAGCAGTAACTTTTCAAATCGTTTATATACCTTCACCTTGAAAAGACAGTCAGTAGGATTTCTCTGCTAATGGTCGTATTTGCATGACTATATGAGAGCATTTTGAGAGTGGAATCTTTCCACCTTCAACTGTACCAAGGCATTTGAAGGTTCGTATGTACGGTCTGTTGGTTAAGAATCAATTATCCTAACCACTGAGCTACTATACTATTTGCGAGACGCTCCACGAAGTTCGAGTTCTGCCCGGCTAACCCATATGTAAAGGAGGTAATTTAAATGTCGTCCATACCTATTGACTGAGGAGTGCTTTTAAGCCCGATTATTCAACTTCACCTAGTCCACGAAATTACCATTGAGGTATTGCGAGATCACATGAATAAATCTATCAGAAAATTAGAACATAATATCCGGCTGATTGTACGATAATAAATTGAATAGAGGGGATAAGTGGTCTGCTAAAAATTTCACCAACAGGGACATCAACTAATAATTTTGAAGATCAGTAGTCGTTCCTCGATTTCGTGCACCATTACGTGTAATGTAGGTGATTCAACATATATTCCAGATATCTGATGAACTCTACAGTCACGAAAATATTTGATTTGAAATAGTAGTCAACCACTAATCATCTTTAAAAAAATATTTGGTGTTTAGCTGTATATCATTTCATGTTTCTGTTAACTCATTGAACAGGAAGTAATGGTTACTTCACTATCCATCCTCGAAGTTTAAAAGAATGTGCATATGTAATACATTCAAAAACAGATTGGATGTACTTTGCAAGTATATATTAGAAATGGCTATCTTCAAGTTTCTCTCGTCTCAGTATTTATTTTTAATAAATTTCCTGTCAGATAATTGGTTAGCGAACATGTACTTTTCTCATGTAAATATTAACTAGTTTTTTCATTGATGATACAGCTTTTAGACAATGTAAATGTTGTGTCTTTTGTATATCTGAAAAATAGAAGGATTTTGTGTTGTCTGGTTGGTAAAATTAACATATGTGCTATGTTTTAGTTTTACAGAGTAAAGTGACAATTACTTGATTGTTTTATTTTTATTGCTGGAAATGAACTCTAATTAAAATATTATTATTGGTATTAATGGTTTAAAATTCTAGACTCCGGAAGCTGCAAAACAAGCTCGAGCTAAATTGGAATACTCCGAGCTATATTTAGGTGTTCCACGTCGTTATGTAGGACGTTTGATCGGAAAAAGAACCTCAAATATTATGTCCATTATTCGTAAATCTGGTGTTGTTCACATTCATTTCGATGATCATATTGAAGGCTCCGTGTCTCTCAGCGATGATAATAACCAAACTGATGTTATTAAGTATTCCCATCCAGGGCATCCTTTAGCAAGCACAATGCGACGAGTCTTTCTAAAGGTAATGATCATACATGTCTTTTTGTTCACCTAATATTCTGTGTACATACTAATACACCTGGGCAGTATCACAGCCCTCACACAAATTTAATGAGATTTGTGTGGCGCATATGTATTTGGTACTTCCTGGTACCAATATCTATGTGTTAAAATAAATAAATAATCACAGTACGTTTATATGCCTAAACGTATTAGTTCAACAAACTGAGTATTCTATATTCTTTTTAGTTTTTTATATATGGGCTGTTCAATATATCTTTAGCTTCTCCAGTGGATTGTCTGTCAACTTTTAGAAGAGCTTATACACCGGTCTACAATATCATCAAACTTAATCATTTTACCTTAGTTAGGTGGTGGTAGTGATTTTTATATAGCTTTTCATTCTTGAAATTTATATGATGATTTACATTATTTTAAAAATAGAAGTGATTTCACATCTGTAAATATCTTAGAAAGTCGTTAGATGAAGAGAATACCTTTAAAACAACAATTGTTTGCACTCTCAACATATAATTCAGTGCCTGGAACAATAATATTATTTATACCTTAATCACTCCTCAGTTTTGTATCAATTTTTCTTTGAAGTTGTTTCATTCTATTGGTTACTTTTTCAAATGTATTCGTGATTTATACGAATATTCGTCAATATTAGAACTACTAACAGTTTGACAAATATTGGGTGCCGAGTATAAAGTAGACATAATATATGAAAATTATATTTGAAATAATCTCAGCGTTTGAAATTTAAATAATCCCAACGTTTTGTCCCGCGAACCTGTCTGAACTTCTGAAGAAATAATATTAAAGTAGTTCAGATAAGTTTGTTGGACGAAACGTTGGAATTATTTAAATTTTAATCGTTGACATTACTTCAAAAATAATTTTAACACAATGTATTCCAATGGTCAAATAAGATCACAGGATAGACAGTCATCACCATCCATTGCGAAACATTTGATTGAGACGGGTCATAAGGTTGATATCAAATCAGCATTTGTTGTGTTGTACAAAAGCCTTCAAGGACGTATACTAAGGTTTATTGAAGCCTTGGCTATACGAAAATTAGAACAACACATATAAGCGAACAATGGTTTTCAATTAGATCGTCATCAGGTTTTACTCTAATATACATGAATATTTATACGAAAATGTAAACCAATCAAGGCAATACGGGTCAATAATCACAATGAAATAGAAAAAAATCGAAACCCCCCTTTATGTGTTCAAAAACAATTTGTGCTTACACTTAACCTACCCTGGTAGTACTGATTTACTATCCAGAGTGGTAATGACATTTGTTTTTGTGTACTTTAATATTTTTTCTTTTTTTATGACTTACCCTTAACCTGTCTAGTTGACCTTTTAATTTTCATATATAAATGTTCTTAACAAGTATATGTGTGATCAGATTGTTCGAAATGTATTGCGCAAATATATCACACAATTCTGATAAACGTCTTCTCATTGCATTATTGAAATGTATTCATTGTTATTTAAGAAAACCATTTTATTTACTTTTGTTTAAGGAACTGGATAGTATATTTGGTTTCATCAAAAAACGCAACTCATGACCAAGCTCATGAACATTTTTACTTGTACTGAATTGAATTCACTGATACACTGATCTTAAATACATGTTCCATTATCCATAAATGAAAATTGTCACTTATATATTAATAGCTTTAATTGAACCACTATTTTCGTTCATTCCTTTCTACAAGGACACGTGATTACGCGAAGGTTTCTGTTTTCCTTCTAATCACTTGCAAATGAAATTTTGAACTAAAAATGAGTAAATATTGACTATTTTTTATTCTGAATAATCTACCGCATATTTTTCGTGATTTGGGTGAACAATCTAGTTTTTAACGTCGCGATATAGAAGTATCGAAATAGGAATCCGTGATTTCTAAAAATAAAAATAATCATTAAACACAACTCAAATATTTCTTTCTAGCTACTAGCATCAGATATTTTCAATTGAGCTTTGCTTCCTGTCCATTCACAGATATTAAACTTTTAAAATACTTTGGTTAATCAGGTATAGTTAGAGGGTGGTTGATTACTTTGTGTATTTATTGCATGCCGGACATGTGATGGTAACCGTGCTCGCTAATTGCCAGTGTTGACAGTAGATGGAAACAGATATAGACTGGATTGTGAATAAAACTAAAAAATAGGGGTTTCATGAATGTCCTCCAATCTCATTATTACTCGATCAGTGCTACATTTTATTAATATTACTTTAAGTTGGTAATTATTCTCTTACGTCAAAACATTAAATTTTATTTTCGTTGGTCTTAAGGTTGCAAGTGTATATATTTTATTCTGAGGTCAAAATTATTGATCTGTTCTTAGACAATTTTAATCTTCAATAATTAAATTCATGAGTCACCTAAAGCTAGACCACCATGGAAAACCTGGATGGCCGTTTCGTCCTAGTATGGGATTGGTTGAAGTTAGATATTAACACCGTTAGATGCCGGTCACCTCAATGGTCTAGTGGTTAGGCGGTTGCGCGCAAAACTGATACGTCCTGCGTTGGAATCTCGCAAGACAGGATCGTAAATTCGCATTGTTGAAGAGTCCCACAATAGACCGAAACGGCTATCCAGCGCTTCCAGGTTTTCCATGGTGTTCTAGCTTCAATTGACTCGTGATTTCAACTGTTGAAATTACTAAAATCTTTACAAAACTCCTGATAATGTTAATCTTGTCAAATTTTATAGGCTGGAAGTGCTCAAACATCCTCACAACCATATACAGATGAGGAATACGGTGGATTCATACTAGCTGGTACAAGGGACTCGATCGAAAAAGCGCGTTTGTTGATCAACTTCCAAATGGATTATTTCTATGATCTTGAAAAAATGGAGGTTAGTTATAAATGGCGAAATTCTGTGCCGTATTTGTGGCAGTGTACATTCCAAAAGTTTGTTTTTCCTTGTGTCAATTCGTTATAATGGGCGTTGTCTAAGATCTTATATTGATGCACAACGTGTTACGGGCTAACCCTTCCCCACAAACTGGCTAGTTACGCGAGAAGATAATAATAGAAGTGAAAGTCTATTGGGCTACCGATATATATATATATATATATATATATATATATATAATTAACTCATATCAGAATTCAGTATAAATTAAAACGAGGTACTAAGTCAGAAATCAACGCTCAAACTATTTCGTTTAGCAACAACACATGCGTAAAGAATCAACGGACCTGGGAAGGGGAGCCAGATTATATTGACTAGTGCTAGAGGGGTGAAAGACGCCAGTTGTCGTTTCATGGACGTCTATGCCACTCAAGGACACTTTTAAGAGACCTACAAAGAGGCCATCTGGATTATCTGCGACTGTCCAACGGCTTAGGTTCTGTCACACACAGTCTATTTGTAAGTATTTTCAGATGTTTTAAATCCGTGCTTTGCAAACCTTCCTTTTAGCGACAAGGATCCATGGAGCTAGTCAAGTTATGCTACTTTCGGACCGACTTTTTGTAATCCTCTACGTTATGAAAAAACTACATACCCTGTCTGTCTGAGGGGTACGCAAAATTGGCACTACACCTCTTTGCAGTTGACAGTACGACTTCGGACTTGGACCCTGAATCGCAACTACTGTCAAACTAATCTGCTTGACATGGTAGGGCACTGAAAAACAAATGTTTCATCGAATATGGATCGATTCTAGTCATCACGATATCCAAAAAACCTACACGTCAAGCTATTAGCTACATTTGTAAGCGATGGGTATGGTAAACGGAGAATAACGAAGGGTTCAAAATTTAGCATGTATTTAAAGGACGAGCCTGAGTTGTTCTAAATTGCCTCAAGACAACACACAGTTTCCAACTACTAGTTATGAGCATCTCACTAACCCATCTCTAGTATCCCCAAAATTCCCAAATCGCTAATCACGTGCGTTTAACCACAAGAAACTGATAAACACCTACGCATACGAAAAGTTGACGTTTTATGACAAATGGTAGATTCGTGTTGTAGGCATGATTCTCGGTTGTTTCGATCGAAGATTCGGATTTAATTCTATCTTCTGCAGCGTGGAAATGCACTTCATGTTTTTTATTCCATATAGTGTACATGTCGTTTAAAGAGCTGTACTACTAAAAGCAGAAAATTTTGGGTCGAAGAGCGAACTAGTTCTGCTAATTGGATTGAGATGTTACAAAGTATGGATTTCTCCCATAATTGACTAACATTCCCAGCTATGTTCCCTTTTCTATTGCAGTTTTAAGGCATCCACTAAAGGTAAATAGCTTCAAAACCGTAAAGACATATTCGAACTGTCGTGTATGTTACAGAACAATAATCGAGCAATCTTTATATATATATATATATATATATATATATATATATATATATATATATATATATATATATATATATTCTTAATATCTTCATCGAGTCCTCCCTGTTAATCGGTGACGATGCTCAGTTATGTAAAAATTTCCATATCATCCAGAATTTGTCCATCAAGTGTGATTGTATTGGTATTCTCCTTGTTGTATTTGAGGATTTTGCTTTTTCCCGTGTGTATGTTGAAGACCATTGCTTCTGAGGCTACTGTTACACTGTTTGTCTTCACTTGCATTTGTTCGTGTGTATGGGACAGAATGGTCAGGTCATATGCCATGTTCAAATCTTGTAGTTGCATCCAAGCCGTCCACTGTATTGAGTTTTTCCCCTCAGATGTTGAGGGCTTCATAATCCATGCTTCTTTGGGTACTATTACTGCATCTCCTTGTTTGTGGAAGAAATTTCCTTCTTCATGACCAGAGTATAACAACCTATCTCATGAAGCTAATTTTTACTTTTTATCTTATTCTGAGCACCCCCATCTTAGATATTATTTCCGTCGCTACTTGTCTGATCCTTCCTCATCCTCCAGGCAGTCCAGGTAAGTATGTTTTGCTGTAATTATTCGAATGGGCATCGACCTCGTGACTACGGAATAATTTTGACTTTCACTATAAAATGTCATAACTCTTCGAAATAAGGATCGTTCACCTTCTAAGGCAGAGTTTAAATTATTTTTTCCACTCCACGCACAACTTTTCTTTGTCCGGGAGTTGGGCCATGGCTGGAATTAGTAAGATTGTTCAGTAAAGAATTTGTTCAAATTGATTCTCTTTCTCTAAACGTTAAGCACCAAATATATATTTTGTACACTTGACTTTTATTATTAAACCATTTAGATATTGTTTTATTCTCATTGGGATTATTATAAGCTGATACACTTTTCACTTCAGAATTCTATCATTACAGTCTGTGGCTTTTAGTTAACAGATTATTTTCTTTTTATTGCATCATTAATAAGAGCGAAAAGCTGGAGTTAATGCGTAGTTTATCTCATGGTGGAGTGGACTCTGGTCCAGGCTACCCAGCTCGTGGTACGGCAGTCGGACGTTGGGGTGAACGTGGTGGTGTTGGGAATTATGGCCGTGGTGGTCGCGGACGCAGACCAGGTCGTGGTGGCCTGTTACATCCTCCTGTTAGTGATGTCAATCATGGACATTATACAGATGATGAAAATATTGGAAATCCAATCCCCTGTCGAGGTGCAAAACGTACGGTATGCAGTTAATTATCTGTTCAGTGGTCTTCTCGAGCTATTTTATTTGTGACATAATACCCAATTAATCGCATAATAAATAGTGATTCAGAATTCATCTGAACTGAATGAGTAAAAATTAAATGAACACACCGTTTGAATGTCTCAATTGCCAATCAGGTTAAAGGTTAGAAAGATAACAAAATTCCATTAGTCTCATCTATACCATTCATAAATGTGCGTTTATTTACTAGTCGATCGTGTCAGAATGAGCTGATAACTGACCTTTCGCCAGTTGATCACAGTTTCGCTTCTCTCACTACGTCAACATTCAGGTCTATCCTCACATCCAACAAGCTACTTGATTAATGACACGTTACTATTCATTATCAAAGGTTGCAAAACTTGCATTCATGTAAAGAACTATTATTCGAGGTGTGAAAATTATGATGTTTGGCTTGTTATTTGATCTTCATTGTCTAGTGTTCATAAATGGAGTCAAATATTGGTATAATCTAACCTTTAGTTTACTCCCAGCTATGTTTTACTGTGTTTGTTGTGACATATTTTGTGTATAATCCTAAGGCATCTTCCAGACAATCGTTGTATTTTGTACGCATTCAAATGACTATGTTAAAAACTACCAGCAATTTGAATTTTTCGCCACATTATGGTAGAGCTTTTGTGGCAGCTGTGTGGTGTATCTCTGGTAAACTCTTGTGTGCTATCCTAATAGTGATATTATCGATAGAAAATATAAAGTCTATCGTCGTGCTGTACAGTATGTTTATAGTATTACTAAAAAGGCTGCAGAATTCAAGCATCAAATTATTAAGGTTTCTATATTCTGTCAAGAAAATTTGCTAACAAATAGTTAACCGTCTTAAATCTTTCTTGTAATGAGATCCGTGTTCAAAATCATTTCTTTTCAACCCGTAGATCATGTTTGATATATCAGTGGCAACTCGAACTGATGTACGTACGTACAAAGTCCCACGATGTTACTGACTGACTAGTAGGCATGCGCCAGTAAAACTCATGATTAATCTAGGGTGATTCACAATTGAGTCTTGTTCAAATCATGATTCCTCTTCGGAAATAAATATTTCATCAGAAAATCTTCCCGGCAATTTTGTTTTTAAGAACTGAGCAATTATCTTTATATGAAATGATTAATGTTCTTCAATTTTTATGAACATCTAATCCATTAAATATAATCATGTAATTTGGCAGAATGACAATTTATCTGTTTTGTTAATTGAATTACAGCCTCGTGAAACATACGGTCACCGTAGTTCTGGTGGAAGAATCCCACGTCAAAGTGGAAGAGGAAGTCGGCGAATAGGAGGTCCAGGTCGCGATTCTAATTGGAATAACCTCATGAACAACAACGGGGATGTCGCTGACCGTCGTCGAGGTTCAGGTGATTCGGATGTCTTGGAGTCTGACAACTTGCCTGATGGTTTGTCTGCAGAACGAGCAAACGCTGGAAGACATAACAGAGTAGGACGTCATTCTCCAGCTCCAAATGGATTTTATTCTGATAGAGAACGTGGGGACGAAAGTGAGGATACCCTTAATCCTAGCAATGAAAACAATTTCCCTTGTGGTGATGCGTCTTCTGAAGACGGCGGGGGTTGTTCAGTTGACAATATGCGCTCAAGACTGAATAAATATGTACATAGTCGGTAGGTAGCTTGTTAATTTTGAAAACCGGTTATATTACGTTTAATAATCAATTTAAAAATGGCAGGACGTTTCTTTATCTGCAAACAGTTTACAGTTATGGGCGAGATCTACTAAAAAAGTAAAATTTTTTAAAGCAATTAAGCACAAAATATAAACAAATCACAAATAATAATAAAAGGTAATAGTCTGAAAAATAGGAGACACGCGTTACCCGTTTCCATTTTGGTTGCAAACTTTTCAAGGGTAATCACTGACAGCACCTGTGTGGGCGTAAACCAAGGATTATTTTGGTTCTATATCTGAGGTCACTCTTGATAACACAGTATTATTATTTATTTGAGCACAAACTGGTGCCCAAACGGATGTGTCACGTAACCAAGACATATAACAATAAAAAATAAAAAAACTAACGAGTGTAGTATGTTGCGGGAGTAGAAGTTTAGTTTGAAAATAATAGCCAGAAAAACTTTCGGAAAAAGAAGTGCCTATCAACTTTATATGATAAAAGTAAATCTCAGCAGACATGTTAATCTGAGTCATATTTGATTACGTCAAAAGCCACTGAGTTGAACTGTCTCTTCTTGGGTAAGTGTGTGTCATAGAAATGCTCTGTGGAGGCTGAATTCTTTGTACTCCCCGGCTGTAGCAGGGTTTTTAATTCCTAGTGTGCACCCGATCGCTGCTTCACGAACGATGTAAGCCTACATCCTCATTCCGTTTCTCAGAAACATTACCACAAGGTTATTTAGTCTTCTTAGAGGGATAAGTTTGTGGTTATTAGGTGGAATCTTATCTTCCACGGACTTTTTGAGAAGTTCTGAGTCATATTTGATTACGTCAAAAGCCACTTAGTTGAACTGTCTCTGAGACTCTGTCCAGGTAATCGTAATGGACTAATATTTTATAGTCCCATACAATTTTCTTTCAAACCACGAGGCTACAAACTGACCACTTGTTCGCTTTTCTTACCTCATCCCAGCGTCGACAACACTGCACTGTGTGGAAGTTGCTTGGATGACACACGTAACATATCCAATCCTATGTTTCAATATGGTTACATTAACCAAATTATTACTACTATGTCTAGACGCACAATACTGGCATAGTTTTACAATTGAACGCCAGCAATTCAGAGACAACGACGATCGAACACAGAGTGTCGCTGAACATCCTTGACTCGAACAGGTCAGGTTTCGCAAACACAGCAGGACTGCTATCACCAAATCATTGTAGACCCGACCATTTGCACTCAGAATGTCGTCAAAGATGGTCCAATATAGGTATATAGGTCTCATCATTCACGCCACCACCAACGCTCATCGAACTACCCGAACACACGAACTTTTCGACCACCTTTAAGAGCTCACCACTAAGAGTGAGGCTTCTGCCAATCGTAGAAATACTCTGCACTTATAAAGTGCAAAGTATATGCCATGCCTACTGACTGGACGCGATTTGCGTAGTATGTGTATCATCGCATATTAAGACAATATCACACATATTACACATGATTCGCTGGAGTATCCCAAGCAGCTGTAGAGAAGCATTGCTTATAAGCGCAGGACGTTTTGAGAAGTCACATGAGACGTGACCTGCAGTTTTCATAACGTCTTGCAAACGCAGCCGGTGTTCATCCATACTTTTCGGTGAATTGAAAGCTAGGCTTGATATTTAGTTATTATATGTGAAAATTATATTTGAAATATTCTCAGCGATTGGAATTTAACTAATTCCAACGTTTCGTCCAGACAAGTTAGCTGGACGAAACGTTAGAATTAGTTAAATTTCAATCGCTGAGAATATTTCAAATATAATTTTCACATATAATGACTTCTCTATACTCGGCGCTCAATTACTGTCAAACTATTCGTTCTAATCTTGACGAATATTCGTATAAATTGATATTTAGTTGCAACAAAATCTGCAGCCAATTTACTCAAAACAATCTGTTTAGGACGATGAACATTTTGGCCACTGAGACGTAACATGAGATTAGTGTAAACAAGGGTATGATCAAAGTCCAGGTATGTACTTCAAAAGGAACAGTATAACCACGCCAACAGTAACTGGTCACGGTGTGGTTAATCTGAGTCGACGACTGGGTTGCAGAGGTAGGGTTCCAGGTAGCACATCAGCGATAACTGTGCAGGAAATCTGACGTTCAGAACTAGATTTTGGTCTTCTCAAGTTTTCAGGAGACCGTCATCGTCATTTTTTCTGCAATCAACGAGTCCCTACTGGTCACCCAAGCTTTCGACCAAAGGATCTAATCCACAGTAGAGTGAAGTGACATCACAAAATGCAGTGCCATGGCAGCGGGTGACCAATGTCTGTTAATGAACTTTATTTTCACATCCTAGAATTCATATGCATCACCGGCTTAGAATAAGGGTCTTTTTAACTTGCATCCATACCCGTTAACCCGCTTCGGTCGCTGGATATTCGTCTTTCATCACCCCACTTCTGTAAAAAGCACCCTCACTGTGAGAATGGAGTGGATTGAAGTCCTCTGTCAGTGGTTATGAATGCGTAGCCATATGAAAGCATTTCGTGAGGAAGAGAGAACTCTGTCTACCTTTACTTGTACTATGACATTTAGAGGTCCAGTTTCGTTTATCGATTCAACTCTCCACTCAATCGTGGCATTTACTTAGTTGTCTCACAATACGTCACTGGTACTTCGAAGTTTTTGCGATTGAAGATAAAGGTACGGACATCTTATGTCCTCGGACAATTGAGAAAAGCTAGACGGGCTTTGTATCCGTGCCAAAATTTCTTAACAACCCAGCAATGTTGTTAAGATTCACAAGATAAAAATTACTTAAAGTAGCTCGTTCTCCAGGTACTCGGGTATAAGCCACACAATTATTGTAAAGGCTAATAAAACCACCAAGCTGACGCTAACTATCTCAAGCCACTATTCTTCAGGGCATCCCATGTCAGCTTATTAGGCCTTACTGCACTTCCACTCTTCAAGTTTATTATAGCTTTCTAGTAGTTAGACGCCAACTTTCTCATTCCGTCAACCGAGTTTAGTAGTATGAATACACAGTTATTAGTTTCCTTGTCTTCTACAGTGGTAATTTGAATGTGACCGTTTTATTATGACTCATATGAGGTACAACCTCAAAGGTACCATTATTATTTGTTTTTTAGTCGTAACAGTAAATCACGTCCCCCACGTCGCTCACATCCAGCTCGTCCCCAAAATTCCGACCAGTGGGATACCAATTGTCAATTCAACAACGTCGATTCATCTCTTGGTAGTCAGAAGTTACGTAGTGGTGGTCAGGGTAATTATTCTGCCAGACAGCAGTCGGCGCAAGTAGTATATCAGGAATAGAGATCCTTGGACACTTTTACTGGATGTTTGTGTGTACCTCTTTAAGTTGAGTTAACGAAAAAACTTCATGTATTACATTCTCATATCTTCATTTCTTGTTGTTGTTTGAATATTGTTTCTTTTGTTACTTTCCCGGAGTTATATATATATATATATATATATATATATATATATATATATATATATAGTCTTATACCGACAATGTTGTCTGGTTTTTCGCAAACATTATTACTAATATCCAATCTCATCTTCATTTCTTACACACGAATACGTTACACATGTTTATACAACATTACAATTTCTTAAACCTGTGATTAGCATGCATATCTTATGTGGTTCATTAGTTTATTCGCGCTCAAGTAGCAGTACTTCATTTTAACCGGTTCCAGTCATCTCATTCAGTATCAAGATTTTTAAGCAATAAAAAGACAACCACTTCAGGTGTACTCGTAAGAAACTGTTATGTCTTCATTTCTGTCACCTTCTAAGAATAATCACCTTTGAACTAACTACTTATCCACCGGTAACTGCGTTTTTCCATTTAAGTGTATTAACTAGTTCTAATTTATTCTATACGTTATCTTCTGAATAAACAATTTCTCTTCATTACAATCTTTTCTTCATACATTTTTTCATACTTTCCTTTGTTAATGTGCCTTTTCAAGTCACTTGAACTTTTTAGAAGTATTTGTTATTTCTCATGCAAAAACTGATGAAAGCATAAAAGCTTTTGTCATTTTACAGTGGATAGTTTGTAAATTTTACTTATGTCTATGTGTTAAGCATGCTTGTGTGTATATGTGTGTGTTGTTAGCACTCTTCAACTTGTCAGTCTTCCGAACTCTTTCTAAAAAAAACATTGTGGTATGAGTGGCCTTTTAATGTAATATGCTACTCATTCATTTTATTGTATTGGGTTTATCCATCTTACTGCTAACTTGTTCTTTTCTGTTCATGCGCCTCTTGCATATTCGTTAATTAAGTTGCATTTTCGTCCTTGTGTTTTTTCTTACGGGCAATATACTGCCTGGTTGACGCATTCAGCAACTAACAGTCCTTTTAGCGAACGAACGTCTTACAAACATCAGTACTAACTTTTTTGATTGAGATCATGAACCGATTGATGTTAGACCACCATCGAAAACCTGGGTGCACTGAACTGTCGTTTCATTCTATTGTGGGACTCCTTAGCAATGTGCGTCCACGACCCCGCTCACGAGATTCGAACTCAGGGCCTTCAGTCTCGCGCGCAAACGCTTAACCTACCGGACCACTGAGGTGGCATCCAATGTTGTTAATGTCTAACCTCAGTCAATCCACGAAATTGCGCGTTCATGGGTAGCGTTAGACTTAACCGGATAATTGTTTCTGGGATATTCTTCTGAGTAACCCAACACCTCCCCTTTGGAGAAGTTAATAGCGACGTAACCGAGGGCAACCACACAACCAGAAGGATGTTCTACTTGAGTAGATGACTTAGTCGTCTCTGTTGGAGGTATTGGCGGAAGTTGAAACGTGTCCAACAGCAAGTCGAGTGGGACATGTTTTGTAATTGCTTCTTTCTCCTTCGCTTTCCTTGACCTGAGTTGATTGTGGTGCCTGGTCCAGATTTCTTGGTTCACCTTGACACCATACATGACGTTCCCATGTTTTTGTGTGATTTCATCCTCTACCCATTTATCACATCCATGTCTATAATCTCGCGCATACCAACTTCGTAGGGAATTCGAGTATTCTTCATCTGGAGGCTTTGCTGGGCCACTTGCTTGGGTTTCATCGCACCATGAACTGTCCGTAGCTTTCGCCCCATAAGCATCTCAGCAGGGGATTTGGAGTTTGGCAATAAGTCATGCGGGGTCGTCCGGTACGCAACTAGAAATCGTTCTCTGATATCTTCTGTGGTCCCCTCTCCTCGTGCTTTAAGCATGGCTCGTTTAAATGTGTCAACGAACCTTTCAGCTTGTCCATTATATTGCGGGTGATATGGCGGAGAACGAACATGGTTGATCGAATTTTGCAGGCAAAATTCTCGGAATTGGCTAGATGTGAATTGTGAACCATTGTCTGTTACTATTGTTTCTGGAAGACCATGCTGAGCGAAGATCCGATTAAGGAGTTTGATAGTTCGAGTTGTAGAGGGTGGCTCAATCGGCAATATCTCCGGCCATTTGGAGTATGAGTCAACCAGTATCAGATATGTGGTACCATCTAGGGGTCCGGTGAAGTCAATATGCAATCGCGACCAGGGTTTTCCTGACTTCGGCCAGGGCACTGGAGGCAACTTAGGAGGATTTTTCGCAGCTTTTCGGAATGTGAACATCTTTTGACGAAGTCGACAATCTGCTTGTCCATATTTGGCCAATATGCATAGCTTCGAGCGATAGATTTCATACGGTTTATCCCTGGGTGTCCGGAGTGGAACTGGCGTAGGACTTTGGAACGTAGGGTTGTTGGAATTACTACGCGATCACCGAACATCAGACAATCGTTAACAATACAGAGAGCGCTGCGACGATTCGCTAATTGTTGCATATCACCACTCAGCTGCTTAACTGGCCATCTACTCTGAACATAGGTGATCGCTTCTTGGATAATCGGGTCTTCTCTGGTAGCTTCCCGAACATCTTCAGCGGTAACAGGCATTGCTCGAACGGCATTCGCCTATAGTGTAGCACCGGAATCCTCTTCGGTTGATACTGTGGCTATGAGTGTGTCCTCATCAGTGGTAGAATGGTTATTGATAAGTCTGGACAGTGCATCCGCTTTACCAAAATCTTCGGAACGTCGATACTGGATGTCGAAGTCGTACCTCAATAACGCCCAACGTTGAAGACGATTAGCCGAATGGGCAGGAATGCCTTTCTTTGATCCAAAGATTGATAACAACGGCTTGTGGTTTGTGAGCAAGGTGAAACGGCGCCCATAAATGAATTTGTGGAATCGCCGGACAGCAAAAATTAGGGCTAACGCTTCCTTCTCTATCTGGCCGTAGCGTTTCTCAGCAGGTGTTAGTGTTCTCGAAGCGTGCATCACCGCTTTCTCTGACCCGTCGGGAAAGACACGTGAGATTACGGCACCCAGTCCATGTGTTGAAGCGTCAGCAGCAACCACAATGGGTAGTTTCGGATTGTAGTGGGTTAGCAGAAGATTGGAACTTAGCATGGCTTTAAGTTTTGAAAAGGCTGATTCACATTGCGTTGACCAATTCCAAGTAGCATTCTTTTCTAGCAGACGATTTGATGGATATCGTACGTCATGCAGTGACGGAAGAAATGCTGAATAGTAGCTAATCATCCCCAAAAATGATCCCAGTGAGGAGACATCAGTGGGAGCAGGCATTTGTTGGATGGCGTAAGTATTTTGAGGATCAGGGTGTCGTCCAGAAGCATCAAAGATAAACCCCAGGTACTTAACGAAACGTAAGAAGAATTGGCATTTTTCTGGGCGAAGGCGAAAACCATTATCCTGGAGGCGTTGCAGAACTAAGTGGGTTCTGGTATGCAATTCATCAACAGTTGAGCCGACAATGAGCACATCGTCAAGGTATGTAGCAACACCAGGAACATCTGCAAGAAGTGTCCATGATCTGCTGGAAGATCGCTGGAGCAGTTTTGGTACCGAAGGGTAACCGGGTATACTGAAAAATTCCTCGGTGAGTGTTGATTGTCAACAACTCTCTGGATTCTAGAGCGACTGGAATTTGAAGGTAAGCATCTGCCAGATCCAGCTTAGCAAAATGGGTACCACCATTTAAAATAGTAAATAAATCATCTTGGATCGGCAGCGGATAGTGATGCTGTTGTAGATTTTTTTACAACCACAATTGGTGCAGCCCATGATGAATAAGAAACAGGTACTAGGACACCTTCAGTTTCCAAACGTTGAAGTTCAGCGTCAACCAGAGGTAAAGATGCGTATGGGACTGGACGCTTTGTGCGAAAAACTGGCGTAGCTTCTGGCTGCAGTTTTAAAACAGCTTCAGTTGTGGAACAAAGTCCGAGACCAGGCTTAAATAATTCAATAAATCGTTTTCGAAGGTCTTCAGCATGCTGTTGTGTAGAAGCAGTAGTTTGGACTTGATTGCAGATAGCGCTAATAGGAAGATCAGCGGGACCAAGTTCTTCGAACCAATCTAAACCTAAAAGGTTGAGCGGAGAATTGGTGATGTAGAATGTCCCATTGAAGGTTGTACCTCTGAAAGAAATACAGCAACAGAGTTCACCATGAAGGCGGAGATGGCCCCCACAAGCACTGAGGGCTGTTTGAGAGGATGGTTTGATGGGAGGTTGTCCCAAGGTTCACCAAGTCTTTTTCGACAAAATGGTGATATCTGATGCAGTGTCCAACTGCAAACGAACAGGCTGACCATTGATTGAGAGGGTCAGAAATTTGCTTCGAGTCGCGGCATGAGTATGGAAGACTGCTGCTAAACTCCTTGATGAGGTAATCGGCTTTTTGTGAAAACGACGCTGCGTCTGTGCATTTCGACGGTTATTGAATCGGTTGGATTTGCAAAAGCCGCTTTTGTGAACAACTTTCTGACAGCGATCGCACACATGCTGTTTGAATGGACAGAACTTCACATAATGCCAGGCTCCACAGTGCCAACATGGCGAGGGGGGCTTCTTCTGAACCGGTTTAGAGTGATTAAAGATAGAAACAGCGCTGGCGTTCGAAGGACTCGAGTTTGTTGATTTCGAAGATTTTTTCTGGTGCTGAACAGCATGAACTTCGGAACCACCCTGGCCCCCAGATTGAACCAAAGTGGTGTCACGCTGCAGATTGATGATACGCTGGTATTCGTCTATGATCGCATTAAGTGTCAGTGTTGGATCTTGTTCAAGGCGGTTGAGCAACCGAGTTCTGATGTCGGAGAATTTGGGTGACTGAAGACTGCATATGAGTACTAGGGACTTGAATTGGTCTTCAGTGAGGGATCTGAGCTTGAACCGTTCACACTCACGGTTAACAACGCCGACGTGAGTTAGAAAGTCATCAGACTCATTCATGACCAGTTTTAAGCAGCGATATCGGGTACTGAAGAGTGAGTGGTGATCACCAAAAAGTTGGCTAAGGGACTGAATAGTGGCGTCGAATGAACGGTCGCGTGGGTTCTGCGGTAGAATGAAGTTGCAATACTTATCCAGCTCGGATGGACCAAGT